AAGAAGCCGGCCTGAGATGTTCCCGCTGCCGATGTTCACGCCGGACCAGGTGGCGCGGGTCTGCGAGAACCTGGAGGAGACCGGGGACATCGAGCGCCTCGGCCGGTTCCTGTGGTCCCTGCCGGCCGCCGTCCCTGGCTCGGCCGGGGAGGCGCTGAACAGACACGAGTCCGTGATGCGAGCGCGGGCGCTGGTCGCGTTCCACGGGGGGAACTTCGAGGCTCTGTACCAGATCCTGCAGAGCCACAGGTTTACGCGCGAGTCGCACGCCAAGCTGCAGGACCTGTGGCTGGACGCGCACTACCGGGAGGCGGAGAGGCTGCGGGGGAGGCCGCTGGGCCCCGTGGAGAAGTACCGGATCCGCAAGAAGTTCCCCCTGCCCCGCACCATCTGGGACGGAGAGCAGAAGACGCACTGCTTCAAGGTAAAAAAAAAAAAAACTTTCATACTTAACCCACATGCCCTTGTTTTTACGCGATATTGTTATCCACGCTGCTTTTCCACTGTCATCATACATTTAAATTATATGACATGATATTAAAACACTGAACAGGCCGCCACTTGCTTCCGGTAAAGGTGCTTTTTAACCTGCTGCATCAAGCCGCCTGGTCTTTGAGCTCTTAAGATGATAATAGTCAGAGCTTTAAGCATGGAGGCCTGCTGCTGCACCACTTAGTGCAAGTTTTTATCATTGTGCAGAATGCTTCTGCTTTAACACGCTGTTAAAGGAGGACAGACACATTCATTGTGGTTCCTAAATGTAACAGAAATAATAGCTCGTTATTTATAGATTCTTGTGTAACCTGCCCATTCAGAAAGTTTAAATACGTCTCAAATGATCGTCTTCTATCCTCTGATATTCCATTTCCCCAAAACTCTTTCATAACTTCACATATTTCACTTATCTTATTTACCCCAGGATTTTTTTCTTGTTGAAATGGTCAATTCAAATCGTTGTTTTTTTTTGTCTTTAGTGTAAAGGCCAGAACTCTCACTATGGCTACATATAATTTACATGTTGTCTTTAACACCACCACAATCTCTATCTGCCACCCAGGAGTCAATAAAGAGACATTTATTCAATGTTTAAGAGCAACAATACCAGATTTCTTTCAATGAAAGAGTATGACAGCGTGCTGCTATGATTTGAGAGGTCTGAAGATGAACAAAAGTTTACTTTTAAAAGGCAAATAAACTTGATCCCTTTATTTAAAGTTACAAAAAGATATGTGAAATAGACAAATTCATTTGCTAAAAATCACTATGAAGTGGATTTGAAGGTGTGTTTGTGAATGTGTGATCGCCCTCATGTGGTGGGGTGAAGTATTGTTTCATAAGTGTAGATAATCTTTATACTCTTCAACAGCTTATAAAGCCACTTAACATGATCCCGTTTAGTGGATGTCGTCTTGTGGACTTCTCATGTACAGTATGATAATTTATTTATAAATCCAGTATAATAAGATTACACTGAGCATCATATGAGAGTGATAAGCTTATTGCGGTTTAATGGGATGATATCAAAACACCATATGGTGACTTTTCATACTGACAGGCTTTATTTTTTCTGAACAAAATGATGATTTGTTGCTCGGACATTTACGTTAAGAAGTCTGTCTTTGTGCTGCTTGCTTAACAAGAGATCATGTGATAAAACATCAACGCATTTCTGTATGTTCTCCAGGAAAGAACTCGCAGTTTGTTGAGAGAGTGGTACCTCCAAGACCCATACCCCAACCCGTCCAGGAAACGCCATCTCGCCCAGGCCACAGGACTCACACCCACACAGGTCGGAAACTGGTTTAAGAACCGCCGGCAGAGAGACCGCGCCGCATCGGCAAAGAACAGGTATGTCAAAAAGATTCCTGATTAAGCAGATTTTGAATACAAGTGGAATAATTCACTTCACGACAGACATTATAAGGCATGTTAATGAGCAAAAACGCTGATGTGTTGAATAAACAAACTAAATGAGACTTCTGTCTTATCCAGAATGCAGCAGGATCCGTCCCACCATCCCTCTGAGAGCTCACCAGACGGCTCCCACCAGGAGCGCCGCCATCACCCCCACTTGTTGCCTCCCTCCCCTCGCCACCTTGGCAGCCCAGAGGCAAGCGACTGTAGCACGGAGAACGAGCGCAGAGGAACAGGAGCTCCACCCCCGAGATCTCAGTCAGCAGCGACAGCGAATTCGAGTCTTGAGACGCTTTGTTTGATTTTTTTTTCACGGACGGACCCTGAAGCACCCGTCGTCAGACTTTTGTTAAAGACACTTGAACTGTGTGTGTGGCTGTGGAAACACTGGAGGTGTTCTCAGTGGGAGGAGGATGAAGATGTGGCCACTTAATGTGGCTGTGAGTGGACGTTTATAAGGGAACATATGCAAAAACAACATGCACTTAAGTAAGCACCATGGCAGATGACCTTGACTGTTACATTAACTAGTTTACTGTTGATCATGATTCAGCCCCGCATACAAAACCACATACAAAGTATTAATACAAAGTATTAATAGACAAAAGCCTATGGTCTTTAGATATTGTGCACATTAATATTACATTTTGAACTGCTTTCAGGTATTATTTTTGAGTAGATCATTTTCTTATAGTTATCATATAACCAACATGATGCATTTGTATGGAAATTGTGAGGACACAATCAACAATGCCTTGAGTAGGCTATTAAAACATGTAGCTATATTTACAGGCACAATATTAACTTGAGTATGTCAGATTACAGCAATATGGAAATACTTTTTTATAACATCTTTATTGGCCATAAATAAAATAAATGAACAAAAATGAGCACGAGAATATATATTATAAATAAGGGAACTCGGGTTATAATGTGCTTGTAAATATATGGGTGAGCAATTCAGCTCATTTCACTGCCTTAAAAAGGAACTAAAGGCATCATCATTCTTTTATATACTTAACAATAATAATAGCTTTACTTTAGACTTAATTAGCTTTTTGTAGCAAATGATACACACTTGCTCCTAAAGCACAAAGTATTTCTACCAGTTGTGTTTTACCTGTTCGTTCTTCTTTTGGTTACTGTCTGAAATCTGTCGAGCTTTTTTCGTCACATGCTCCTGAGCTGCTCTGAAGATCTCGCAGGAGCTGAAAACAGAAAAGGTGGAACAGCGAAAAGAATGTAAAAGCACTAATCGGTCTTAACTCAATGTGCCTATTACATTTGAGAAAAGTGAGACCCGGTTGGATGTGACTGTGTCCTTCTCATTTCAGGAACGACACGTTTAAAAGGCCTACTGTTTGCTGTCTTTCTTACGACCATCATTTCTCACACTGATACTACTCATCAATGAAAGATGTATTTTGTAAATGTTTATGTAAATAAATGGACTTATTTTTATCCAAAGTTTCGCTGACTCAGTCAGTGTATGGGTATAATGGGAGAGACCCCATATTGACCTTAATGAACCAGTGCAGGGTCCAAATTAAAATGCAACATTATGTTTTCCAGATGGTTACACACTAAACAGATGAGCTACATATCTTCAAAACAGTTATATTTATATTTACTGATTCTGATGAACCAACTGAGAGAACACGCTCCAACTACATTTTAATCATCTGTGGCTCAACAATTTAAAATTAGTGCCAAACAAACTAAAACACAACATTCACTGAAAATACCCTTTAAATAACCCTTTAAAGTTGATATTTTGCACATGCAAGCTAACTACTACACATCCAGTGGACATTTACAGTCAGCCCCCCAACAAGAGTCAGGCCAATTTCCATTTTCCTTTAAGCTATTTTTAAATTTTTAAATCAAATTTCTTTCTACATAGTTGCTAAATGTGTCATTATTTTCACCAGTTAACTTAGTCTTGAATAACTGTGTGTTGTGCACTATAGTAGCCTTCATTTTAAACATCTTAGCTTTTCACTAACAAAGACTTGAGGACTTGTTTTTTCTTCTGAAAACTTTCCCAATTAGCTAAGAATTCAAGATAGCAAGTTTTTTTTTCTGTAGACTAAGAAGCTAAACTTACCTACGGTTTTCAGAAAATTTCCTTCTTCCAAAAGTATTCTTCCATCCAGCTACACAGAAAAATATTGTTTATGTTGGACAGTGAAGATTTGAGACTCTTCACAAGCTGCTGCTACTTCCATAAGTAAACAAAGATGGCTGCCGGAAGTGACACGTATTGTACTTTTTTTTTTACTTAGTTATAAAACTGATTATCGAAAAAGTGCAAAAAAAAAAAAAAAAAAAACTCCATCAAAGCATTCATCTTCTATAACAAGCTAAGGACCTCCGATTTTTTTAGCTCCTGTTAAAAACATTTTATATTAGGAACTGTATGATAAAAAAGAAGGCTACTAACTGCTGCTAACTAAAATACTTCTATTTTTTTTATAGACGATTTCTATTTTTTTAAGCAATTATAAATGCAAAACAATGCAATGACAAGTAGGCTAGTCATAAATAAGTATACCTGAATAAGAAAAAAATGAAATATTGATTCCTTTGACTAGTATTTTAAAATGCTGCAATGAAAGAAAAACACATAATTCATAGACTAGTGATTTAAACTTCATCTCTGATACCTGACACTATTGTTTGAGGAAATTATATGGTTTTAAAGTTATGTCAAAAACCACCAGCAGCCGACTTGTAAATTAATCTAGAGAATTTGAAATGAACAAAAAGGCACACACACATTTTTATGGTATTCGTTGGTTAGTTTTTGTCATTCAAAAGATTAAATGCTTAACAAAGTGAGACGTTCATCTATCAAGCACTGAATAAAGAAGTCTGACAAGCATAGAGACATTTTAACAACAGGATGAGCTAATGTAAGCGTAGGGGAATTTTTGCTATAAAAAGTATTTGTAAATTCCTCATTCAAAAGAACACTACCCGTTTCCCTAAAAAATAGTAAGTAAACAGTATAGGCCTACCTCTTTTGCCATAGTAATGGGTGTTCCCTAAACCAGTAGCCCACCCAAGCTTGAAGGACTTCTGCTTACCTGTCAGTTTCAGTCACTGCTAAATTTATGTGAATTGCTTAGTTGTTTGTCCAACTCCTGTCTTAACAGGAGGGAGAATCTAGAGCTGTGTAAGCATGGACAGCATGGGGAGAAAAGTGGTGGTCTGTGACAATGGAACAGGGGTAAGTCCATCCAAAGTGTTTATATTGTAACTTCTAGCCTCACAGTCTATTGACAGCACTAGCTATTGTTTTCTACTTTTCCAGAAGCATAGATTTAAGCTTTTAATACATCTTATCTTAAAGAGTTTTGGATGCCAATCTAAACAGGGTTTGTAATACATCTCATTTTAAGTTTTTAGTTGCTGTTCTTAGAACTTTTCTCCCAGATCATGCAACATCTGAAGGGTGTGAATCTGTGCTGCGCATACTGCAGCCTGATCTCACATCTGTCTGGACTTGTCCCACTACCTCTAATGTGCACACAGCCATAAAAGGTTGTGATGCTTTGAACTGTGCAGCAATTGGATGAAAAGCAGGAAGAAAGAATTGAGGAACCAAAAAGGTCCATACTGGCTCTTAATATTGTTTTGTTGCATTTAAATGATATCCAGGCTTTGCCGTGAAGATTAACATGAGTTATAAACTGTACAATACCTGCATTCACAAGCTAGCTGCTTCTATATAACTCTCTCTGCTAGGAATGCATTGCCTCCCTCCAGGGTAAGGAATGTGCACTGTGGCCACAAAGACAAGTTGAGACACTACAGCATGAAGTGAAGTCATGGCAAGCAGTGTATGAGATTGTCGGTGCATTTAAAATCTATGCAACAACATATACATGTCCTTGTACTTTCCAAAGGAATTATACTAAATTCTTTAATAAAAGTAATGAAAATAGAAATAATAGAAAAAAGAAGATGTTATTGATGATTCATAAAGATACAAGATGGGGAAGTTTATTGGATACAGATTAAGCCTGGTGCCGAATAAGACTAAATTAAACTGATTTATCAACTAAAATGATCCCTACAAAGGATTATATAAGAATGTAACAGGAATCAATCCATTACTTCACAAAGAAAGTTTTAGTTTCTGTCCATAAAAAAAGAGAACTAACTAAAGTATCTCCCCATGTGTTTCATTCCTAGTTTGTCAAGTGCGGCTTTGCTGGGTCCAATTTTCCAGAACACATCTTCCCAGCCATGGTGGGCCGCCCAATCATTCGATCGACCATCAAAGTGGGCAACATTGAGATAAAGGTGAGGACACTTTAAAGTGAAATGGGGGCCTGTTCGCTGCTCTTTCACTGAATTTGACAGCTGAAAGCGTTCGAGAAGCATTTGTGATGTTATTGTGGATAACTCAAGAGAACAAGACCACACTAGTAAACGTTTTATATGATTGGCCTTTTTCAATTTCCTTTATGTTGATAATAGTTTGGACTGACAACAAACAACAACAGCAACAATAACCAAACAGTACAATCATTGTATTTTTATGTGCAAGCTGGGAAATTACCCTTTAATGCACAAACTTACATTTACCTTTTAGAAAGTCCAGCTTGTTCATACCTTTATATTATTTACATTTTCAAAACAGGACTTCTAATCATGATGGGGTAATTTCACAGAGTGCTATTGTTTTTACCCATTAAAGAATCTTATTACTTCTTCCTCCATTGTCCTTATGCATTTGTATTCTATTTAAATCAAAGTGGCTGGCTGTCTGTTGTGTCTAGACATATACAGTAAGACTAGTTCAGCTCATTAAACACCTGACCTACTGTACCTCTTCTCCTCTCAGCTCCTACCACAGTAAGTATCTTACCTTCACACAACACAGTTCAGTTAATGGGCGGAGAAATCAGACCTTTATCCTCATTGGACCGCAGACTTCAGCACATTGTGAACAACAAAGGAAAGATTTTTATTTTGTACGTTTTAGAGTCGTAGAGCATGTGTCATAGAACCATTCCAAAGATAATTTGACCATAATTTTTTGTAAAAATCCACCCTCATTTCTTTTCAATTAAGAAAACTCTATAGGTACTACCAAGGGAACTGGAAGAAAGTTGAATGAAGAAAGACATTTGAGAGGCTTCTATTGAGGCAACAATTGTGATCTAATTACTTGTGTGTTGTGTGGGTACTGTGCCAAAACTATTTAAAATCTCTAGGTTGCTGTTATTTAAATTTGAGGACTAATATGCAGTCAGTACCCTTTTTTAATGTTTGTTGTATGTGTAAAATGTATTGAATCAATTAGTTACTTCACAAATCAAAGAAATATCAGACTATTGTCAGACAAAGTTAGCCTCTAAAGGTTACACACCTCCTGTTCTCTTCCATTAGGACCTGATGGTTGGTGACGAGGCCAGCGATTGCCGCTCCATGCTGGAGGTGTCCTACCCCATGGAGAACGGCATGGTGCGAAGTTGGGACGACATGCTCCACCTGTGGGACCACACCTTCGGGCCCGACCGCCTCGACATCGACCCGAAAGAGTGCAAGGTATAGAACACAGCTGGATGGACGTTGAAGTGAATGTGTTTGAATATTTTGACTAATTATTGTAAGCCATAGATAATTAACTGGTTTTATTTTATTTGAAAGGTGACGATGTAACATTTCAAACACAAATGTTGCCATTTGATGCATTGTACAAGAGTTAGCTTAAAGCTTAAAGGATTTTATTCTGTTAAATTTTGTAGAGGTTACCAACCAGCCCACAGGGTCAGACTTTAAAAACTAAGTTAATCCGCTATATTATAAATCACATGAACTGCGAAATAAAGGTCATAAATGACTTATATCTGACCTAATTGTAACTATTTTCTGTGTTCCATCTTTAAACTAAAGAACTAAACATTTATACTTTGTATCTCAAAAAACACAAAGTAAGCTTTTATATTCATTATTATGTATCTGCCTATTCAAGATCCTGCTGACTGAGCCGCCCATGAACCCCAACAAGAACCGGGAGAAGATCACAGAAGTCATGTTTGAGAAATACCAGTTCCAGGGCATTTACATTGCAATTCAGGCGGTGCTCACTCTGTATGCTCAGGGTAAGACACAAGGACACATTGTTTTATCAATATTTTATGTGTTTTATACTTACAGTCCTTGCAGAGCCTTAAGACAAAAAAAAAAAATGTAAAGGAAATTTTATTTCCTGAGAAATTTCTGTTTGTAGGTTTGCTGACTGGTGTGGTCGTCGACTCTGGGGATGGCGTCACCCACATCTGTCCGGTGTATGAGGGCTTTTCATTACCTCACCTCACACGCAGGCTGGACATCGCAGGGCGTGACATCACACGCTACCTCAGCAAGGTGAGCTTGGATATCTGAAAAATACCTGAAAAACAAGGAAAATGAAAATAACAAGTGGTCTGAAAAGCCTGCTTCTGTTTACATAAAGACAATTCACAATAACAAAATTCATTGTGTCTTCTTTCATTTTTGTATCATTAGCTCCTGCTTCTCCGTGGTTACGCCTTCAATCACTCGGCCGACTTTGAGACTTTACGTATGTTGAAGGAGAAGCTCTGCTATGTAGGGTATAACATCGAGCAGGAGCAGCGCCTCGCCACGGAGACCACCTACCTGGTGGAGTCGTTCATGGTACGTGAAGAAAAATGACCAGGGATAAAAAAAAAAAAAAAGTTTGGTCTACACAAATGAAGTATGCTTATTTGGTCTCATGCTGAAAAGAGAGGTTACCTCTCTTGTGTCTTTGTGGTTAATATGCAGCTTAAACAGTCAGTTAGCCTAGCTTAGCATAAAGGCTGGAAAGAGCGGTAAACAGCTAGTCAAGGATACAGTTAAACCCACCTACCAGCACATCTTAAACTCAAAAACAGCTGAGGTGTAAAGATACAATTTGGGACTAACATGGCTAAAGCTAGCTTAATATTAAGCCAGAGTAACCAGCCAGTAAGCCCAGTTCACTAACTGGCTTGGTCAATGTTGAGTTTTAGTTTACTCATTTTGGAGGAACACTACTTTTCTGGTCTGTAGGTTTATGTCCTCCATCTTTTTTTACAGTATATGTTTGAACCATTCATCCACCAGACCTCTGTTGGACTTCCTTGCTCTTTACACTACGTTGTACGTCATCTGACTTCTGTTTTTGCTCCTGTCATAATTATGACCACCACTAGAGGTTCCTGCCTAAGAATTGGCATATATTTATGAGGCTTAGTTGCAGAACTGATCCAAACAATGTATTTCTTTGTGGAGGCTCTGCCAAATATTGCCCTGGACTCAGAAAAAGTCAGACTTCTACTGAACTGATTCCTCTGTCTGATGCAGCTTCCTGACGGCCGACTGGTGAAGGTGGGTGGAGAGAGGTTTGGGGCCCCTGAAGCTCTCTTCCAGCCTCATCTCATCAACATTGAGGGGGCAGGAGTGGCTGAGCTGCTCTTCAACTGCATCCAGGCTGCAGACATTGACCTCAGGTGTGAAGTCAGACAGCTACTTTGTCAACATAAAAAGGTGAAATGCAACAAACAAAGCAGCGTCATTTTACCTCCTACCATCTTTTTTTTTTACCATGCAGGGCGGACTTCTATAAACACATCGTTCTGTCAGGAGGGACCACTATGTACCCCGGCCTTCCATCCAGGCTGGAAAGAGAAATCAAGCAGCTCTACCTGGAGAGGGTTTTGGACGGAGACACAAAGAAACTATTGGTAAGAAGTGCTTCACTGGAGAGTGATGCAGTGGAGCTTAACTCGTCCATAATCTGTATTTTAAAATACACAATGTTAAATAAGATGTTATACAACCGTTGATTCTCTTAAATAGCTTTAAATAAATGTCATAATCCATTAAGTCGACAACAACATAAGCCTTAAAGCTAAAGTAATGCATTTCCATTTATTTGATCAATCTTACAAAGCACTGGCATTATATTCCTTTTAATAATAGTAACATCATTTGCAAAAACGAGCACCACTGGGTCACTTATTCCAAAGCTTTCAGCCTTATCACACAGGCTTGTTCAGAAACTACACATTATGCTCTACAATTGTATTCATTCCTATTCATGTTGCATTATAATTTATTCCTTAAATAAATTCTAGACCTTGGTCACAGTTTTGACTGTTACCCTCTTTTTCTGTAGCGTTCAAAAAACATCAATTGGTCATTTGAATAAAAACTGAAAGTAAATGGGTCTTCAGCTGAAAATGAATGGTTTTTACTGTTGATTCCACCACAGTTACTATTTCCAAAGGCAGCAATAAACCATTAACAAGCTCAGTTGTTTGGCATGTTATATCATTGACATTTTAAAAATTAAAGAAAATTTGCCATTGACAATAATCAGAGAAGACTGTAAGGAAGAAGAAGACATAAGCGTCAGGTGCGAAAAGTGAAGCCAATGCAGACGTTTCTTAAACCTGCATTCTTTCAAATGGCCAGCAGGTGGAGACTCCCATGGTGGCAAAAAAGAGCTCTGAATGTTTGAAGTCGATATTTGACAAAATAAGCCTATTTCTTAGTGAATTGAATATCTTGGTCAACATTTTCCTGATGAGTTTTACGTCCGAATTGCTAGTTTTCACTTCTTCTTCAGCACTGCGTGATGATTGTTTTTTAAATTATTCAATTTACAGTAATTTACAACAACAGGGTACGCTTTAAGGACGTTTGTACTTTGTCGTAAAAACCTTACAAAACACCATGTTCAGCTTACAGTTATAGATACTGTCCTTTACATTTGTTTAAAGCTGTTTTTTAGCTAGCATAACTTAGCATCCTGTTTAGTACAACATTATCATGACGGAAATGTTGCACCCTGCCAAACAAGCTAGATCTGTAGTTAGCAAACCCCTTGCTTCACTCCAGTTTACCCCCAAAGGGTCACTCTTTGGTGAAAAACAACAACAGAGAGGTGATGGCTTATGTTTAAAGTAGGTTTGGTGCTGCAATTTGCAAGCCAGGGTATAAAGAACAAAGGTAGTATTAAATGTGTTTTAATGACCTCTTGTTTGCCCTTTCCTTCACCTGTGTAGAAGTTCAAGATCCGCATCGAGGACCCTCCCAGGCGTAAACACATGGTGTTCCTGGGCGGTGCCGTGCTGGCCAACATCATGAAAGACAAAGACTCCTTCTGGCTCTCGAGGGCAGAGTACGAGGAGAAAGGTCTGGGGGCGCTGCAAAAACTGGGAGGTGGAGCCAATTAAAATTGTACATTTTTGAAAAGAACACATCACACATTCAGTATATATTTTTCAAACAAATTCATGCTATTATAATCAATAAGTTGACTGACTAAAATGTACAAGAAATGATTGATAACTGAACCAATTATCAGCTGATGCGTCACTTTGTTACCATAAATATATGCAGAACATATTGTCCATATGCTTTATGAGTACCTGAAACTTTTTTTTACTTTGTTTAATTACACTGTGACTGCTTAAGCTGCATTTTCTTTAGTTTAATTTCTATTTGGGTCTAGATTTAGCTTCAGGCACAACTCCTAAGTTTAGTTTGTTTGTTTCACAATTGATTCAATTTTGGTAAAATATTGGCCTTAAGATTTTGTCAGATCTAATGTCTAAGCCTGTATATTGCAGAGTTTCTGGGACTGTGTAGCAGGTTTTTTTTAAATCATTAGGTATGCATGTGATGGGTTTATACAAGTGGGAAATGCCAAAGACAGAAAATGCAAAACATGGTAAATACTAAAATGTCAAACTAGAATGGAGGAGCATGGTTTTCTATGTTTGTCATGTATTTCACAATATATAAAAAGTACTTTGTCTCAATTGTGTTTGGTTGTTTGCGATTCCAGATGTGTAACAGTATTTTTAACTGTAATTTATCTAAGACGCTTTGAAATAAATCTTATCAGACATACTTATAAGGCTCTGTATGGCTGTTTTTTGTTTTAAAAAAAAAAAAAAAGAAGATCTCCAAAGTTAACATTTGAATCCATCTTGAAACATCTATGGGTGTTTTTAAAAGCATGGTGTATAATGGTGTTGTTGTGTGCTGCCCTCCGGTGGCTCAGTTTGTGTAAGACAATCAAACCATGACATCCACACTCCTACAACACAAAAACTGGATGGACCGACATTGTGAACAGATATTGCAATTCTTTATTGCGATACTGAGTTACCTGACAGAAAAAATACAGCAATGTGTTTCCACACTGAAAAGAAAATAGTGAGCTCTCACAGTGAACACATGCTTCACGCACACACCACATTCGCAGAACCTTTACGTTAAAAATGAAAAGAAAAAAAAAAAAAAAAAGCATGCAATAATGTCCAAAAACACGTCAAAGTTCTTCAAAATGAACCTCCTCAGCTGGTTGAAAATCCATACTTAGGTTTGATATCTACCCGACAAATCCAACAATTAAAAGTTAGCTTTAAAATACACAATATGAAGGTGGAGAATGACACTGATTGAACAGTCTGGTGGTGATGACTTGCAGCAGAAGTCGCCAGGAGTTGGTGACTTTTTTTCAAAAATGTACATTCAACCAGTCACCTCCGGGTGCTGGTCTAGTTGGTCCGACTGTCCTCTCAGTCTGGTTGTAACGCAGTTTTTATTTTACATCACGGCCAAGAGAAACAGAAGAACTGAAAAGCAGTGGGCTGGAAACATGAAATGAATGTGTGTTCGTGAAAGGATTAAATTCTGACAGGCAAAAAAATAGAGAGCCTAATACATTCGCAAGTCATTCAGTAAATCTGTTGCAGGTTGTCTTGGAGTGTCGATGTGATGCTTTCTTTTTTTTTTCCTCTCTTTCCTCTCACATGGTTTAAAAAAAAAAAAAAAAAAAATCAGAGAGCTGATGCTTTTCTATCACCTCCCTCCTACTCGCTCATTACTCCACCTGCCAAAAAACACTTAATAGAATACATGAGAAAGGAGAAGAGCTGTGCTTTTTTTTCCCCCTCATAAAGCAAAAATAAATAGTGTATCTGTGGGTGATTTCTAAAAATAAAAACCTTGTAAACCTGATTTCTTTCAAGGTAAACACCTGTTGTATCACAAAATGGCCTCTCTTTACCTGTTTTGGTCACTTTGGCATTAAGGTTTCGGTCTTGGCTGTAATATGTTTGTTTTTTTTGTCAAGCTGTATTCAAAGGGGGGGGGGGGCACTGAGAGGTTTGATTAACCCAAACCATTCAAAAAAAAAAAAAAAAAAAAAAAGGTTCCATCAAGATCTGCAGACTTTTACACATAAAAGTGAAGAAATAAAACATCCAAGTGTCTTTTTAAGATTTTAACCAGAACTATACAGCGAAAGGGGTTACATCACCACGGTGGACAATTTGCCTTTTCTCCTGTGCGTAAAGGAAGTGTTTTTTTTTTTGTTTCCAGGCAACAGTAGTCTCACAAAATTAGTCTTTGGATTTGAGCCTCCTCACGTTTACATGATGTAATCCCTTCATGGTATAACTCTGGGGGGGTTTTCATGTTTCTGATTACAATCAAATCCATTTATTAAAACATTTCCATGTCACAAACAGTACACTCCTTTACAGCAGCAGCCACACTGAGTGCCGCACAGTACAACTTTTGGCAACAGTCCCTGTGTTGGTCCTGCTGTGCTCTGCATGTTGGTCCATTTAGGGAAGAGTTTACCGTTTAAGGTCCGCTCCTGGTCTGAAGAAGGGCTGAAGTTTTTTTTAACAACAAGTCCTGACCCACGACGAGACACAACACACCGCCGGAGAGAGAGAGAGAGAGAGAGAGAGACAGAAACAAGAGAGAGAAAGAGAAAGAGAGAGAGAGAGAAAGCGAGAGCAACCATCCATCATCTCCTCCTCCTCCTCCTTCCTTCCCCCTCCTCCCTCACCAGTGCCTCCCACTCACTCCTCACACACCGACTCGCTCAGGTCCACGGCACCACCTCGGGTGAGCCGCCGCATCTTGCTGAAGTCGTGGTCGGTCCTCAGGTAGGAGAGCGACGGGCCTCCCTCGCTGTGGCTGGCCAGGTCCTGGGGCTGGGCCTGAGGCGGCAGGGCCCGCATCTCGCCGCCGCTGCGCCAGTACAGGGTGTATTGCTGCGGGTCGGACACTTCGAAGGTGGCGGCACACAGCTGCGCCAGGGCCTCGCTGGTCTCTCCGGCTCTCCACTGCAACGTCCGCACGGCGCTCCGCTCCCCGTCCTGGAACAGTATCCGAACGCACCTCTGCAGGGAGGGAGGGGGGGGGAGAGGAGAGAGAGAGAAAAAAAATGAATATATACTGTATTCATGGAAAACAGAGGTCAAGAGGCTTATGGAGTGAGGGCAAAAGAGGGGGAGGAGAGAGATGGAGCCAGAGGAGGAGTAAGAGCTGTGCAGGCAGATAATCCACTACAACAAATGAACCCAAATGATGCTCATAAAAGATATTCTCTCTGAAACAAAGCTCCCCGCTTCCCACACACACAACCAGCGGGTCCAAATGAAAATCAGCTCTTAAACTGCTCTTTTCTCTGTTGCATGTTACCGCTTCATTGACAAACCCCCCCTCCCTACCCACCCACCCCCAGCAGCGTTAACACATACAGTCCATTAATCTCCCTTTAACTCTGCGCTTTGGTGAAGTTTTCCTAAAGCACATTCATCCAAACTAATACTTATACTTTCTGACATTTACAAGAAGAAGAAAAAAAAAAAAAAAAGCGACCAAACACACAAACACAAGTCTAGCCCCAAAACAATTTGCCACTCTTCAAACACTTACCGGCAATTGTGCTTTACCTAAGCTCTTACATAAGTCAGAGTCAGCCACCTACAGACGCCCTCACAAGTCACTTTAAAAACACACACAATGAAAACATACAGAACATAATCCTTTTAAGCAAACATCCAGCCTAAACAAATCAGTCACACACACACACACTACAGAGCCTAAACTGCTCACACAACTATACCCCGCCGACAAACACATCCACAAGTGTCCAAACCTGCTAAAACCAAAAAAAAAAAGAGAGAAGGAAACACACACACAGTAGCAATTAGAATCAACAGGTCTGCCATCATCAAAACTTACAGAGTCACTGAGCTCCTCGCTGTCCGTGTGCATATTGTGTTTGCCTGCTTCGATGGGTAGATGCAGCTCAATAAATTTCATGTTATCTGACCGCCCACTTCTTCATAGCACTTGGCTCACTGATCCCCGCCTGTGTCAGTGGAAAATCTGGCTGCCGGGTGAGTTAGATCGGCTATTTGAAGCCAGGAGAGGCACCACGTGACGAGACAGAAACGTTGTGGATGACAATGCCTTTTTCTAACCGTGGCATCTGGACGACCGGTTATACCAATCTGGGGGCCAGGGGTAGTGGTAATAGGAGAGTGTAGGTAAAAATTCAAAAGTCTGTGAGCATTTAGTGGATGCCCTCGACGTAAGCCGGGGCGGTCCCTCATCGGCAGATTACCTCGAAAAAAAAACGTCTAAAAAAGTAATCCCCCTGAAATGAATTCTGAATGAATGGAAAGAAAATCCCAAGTGTGTTTTCTGACTTTTGATGGATGACCTTTTCTTCAACTGAAAACCTTTGCATGACCTCAAGAACATGTGCGTAGTCTTTAACTTCCCAAGCAGGAGTATCAGTATTATCTGAAATATGGGTCACAATCCTTCCCCCCCCTCCTGACCCCACCTGGCATTGTTACAGGTGTAGGATAATCTGGTGTTTCCCAGCCTGCAGTGCCATCAGTATAATTAATGTAAAACCTGACCTCTTTGGTGGATTAAAGCCTTGGATTTGTTGCAGTTTGTGTTTTATGTGACATTTGAAAGCCATAAATCGTGAATTATGAAACATAGAAACTGTTTTATTTCCCCAATGACTCTCTGAGTTGGCCTTAAATTTGTTTCTCTTCCCGATGATCTGGAGTTAAATAAATCAGGGAAGCTCATTACAGGTTTTTACAGGTTCACATTTCACAGTTGTGACATTTACTGTCATAGCTGCTTAAACTTCTACTTAATATAAATTATCTAATATACGGATTGGTCTACAAAAATACATTCTCTAAAATCAAAGGCTTTATCCCCAGTGCGTAAAAAAATCACTTCAGTTTATCAGAAAAATAAAATTCACTCAGTTTGAATACATGATTCATCAGGTTTAACTAAGAACTGTCAACATTACAGCAGTAACATTTTCAAATGTGTCCTTCATCGGTTGTAATCAGATTGTGACTCTTAATTTTTCCTTCTTTTATGTTTAAAGTCAGTCAGTCAGTCAAGGCACAATCACATATATGGCTGTTATTTAAATATCTCCATGTCTTTCCAGCTTTAACATGTGGCGAGTGAGAATACACTTTCTTGTCAAATTCAGCAAATTTCTCCTCATGGTCAGATTTCTGTTCTGTGTAGGAACTGTAGAGGATCTCAGAAATCCTTATCGTTGAGCTGGGAAGTGAACATCTGGTGGAATATCAGGCCATATTTCAAGGTTAAAGGCTTTATATGTGATTTTTTTTGATCCAGCAGATGTCGCCCTTGAGCACCAGCATGAAACCAAAACAAGTCGCGATGCATTGTTGTGTTAGCATGCTAATGCTAGCAATCTTTATCATGCTCGTATCTTCACACTGCATGTAAATTAACCTGAAATGAGCGTGATCTAGAAACACAGTTAAGCAGTGAGTACAGTATGTTATTCTTCTTTTCTCTAGTCCCTCAATTAAACAACTTTTATACACGAGGGGAGGAGTCAGCCTTCCGTCCTGGCGATGTAAACAAACTGAAGATAGGACTCTGAAAACTCTGAAAACATCACAGACAGTGGGACTCGGGTGTTACACCCATTGTAGACAGTCATGACTCACAGAGTTATTTTCAGAGGAGATACTTGATTTCTATTTTATTTAAGTGTGAAAAATCACATATAAAGACTTTAAAGTAACATTTTGAGAACAGTACTTGTTGTAACAGACAATTTCTAAGCTTTTTCTCATGGTTACTTTCACGAAGAAAGACAGCCCAAGCTCCCTCTTTAACATTATAGGACCACCCTAGGGATCCAGCAATGGTTGCCAAAGTGACAGTTAATGGGAATACAAATAAACAAAGAACAACCCCCTTGAGCAAACATTCAGGAAACACTATTTAGCCCCTGTTGGTAACATCTCCAATAAAGGCGTATAAGGAACCACAGCTGTTAACCACATTACATAAGTGGTTGGAGTAAATTTACAGCCTTTGATCCACATTCAGACACCTGAAACCCATTTTGCTTTCCAGCCAATATTTTATAACGCTTTGTACCACTCTGCTCCTCCAGCATCACTTAGCATGTAATCATTTCACCAATCAGCAAACGCTCTTATAGGCAGAAACAGTTTTTAAAAGTAAAAAGAGTGTTGTAAGAGGACATTTCACACTTTCACCAACATATTGTTTCATCACACATACCATAGCAAACACAACAGAAAAGAGTTCAGTTGTCTGATTTTGTTTCACTTTTACGTCAATCACACAGCGCAGTGGAGAGTATCCCATAGAAATGTTTCACTGCATAATCAGCAGGAGTTCCTATTGTCTGCTCATCAATCACCACTTCACACTGGGCAGCTATGTGTGGCAGCTATAAAGTAGATCACTGTACAAGCCCACACATTACTATAATACGGCCTGTGTTTCTGTGGTGTATAGTACTACAATCATCTGCAACATCTGGGAAACACCTACTTGGTTCTGCTGGGTCTCCTTTTGTCTCTGGGCTTCTCGGCTTCGTCTGCAGCTCCACTCTTTGAGTGCGTCCTGAGCCTCTGGAGTCAGGCAGCCTGACATCGGCTGCTCCCTGTCTAAGCTCTGGATCAGACACAGGCTGGCATAAACACTAGTCAGGTAGTATCCACCTGGAATTTAAGAAAAGCAGAGTTATAGGTAAAGACCACAACTGGTTAAAAACCAAACCTTGCATCACTGTTCCACTTAATTCCTCGGAGTAGTAAACAAAAGTCTCATGTTAATATTTAGATTAGACCTTGTTGTTATCGAAAAGTTAAGATTCCCTTTTTTTTTTGCTGATTCTGGTCTTATTAGACAAAATTCTAAATCTCTTTTTGCTCATTTTGTCATATTTGGGTCTGATTTATTTCTCTTAAAGGACTCCCCGGCGCAATAAATCAGGAATTGTTCAAAAGCAAAAGTCAGCCGTTGAGACTTAGAGGTCTGCAACCAATTCAGACTATTCAGAAGACAAACAAGCCAGAACTGAGAAAATGATTTAAGCATTAATTCAGAGATCTTGCATTATGTCACACTTGTGTCTTTCAGGAGACCGATATCTGATTTTTCTGATTTTGTTCATTCAGTGCCTTATCTTCATCTGAGTTATTGCTCTTACTCATACGGCTGCAGGTGGTCACAGTGTCCCAATTGGGCTCTGAACCTTTTCTAACTACATCGCTAAGCGCAAAAGTTGGCTGCCACGGAAAGGTTCAAGGATTTCTTCAATGTCTTTCACAGGCACAGCTCAAAGCAACACAGTCAAATGATTTTCTCCATCAACTGTCTAAAAAGCAACATTTCTACACTGGTAGGGAGATGGAACAATAAGTCTGTTAACATTACTGTTTGAGAATTCAATCAAATGTTTTTGAATGTTTTGAGTTGTTTGTGAAATTAGCTTCTAGTTCTTTGATTTGCACAGACTCCATGTAAATAATGATCATAATTTATTTTGTACATCCCATAAATTAATCATCTTATTCTCATTATGGCAAAGTGGTGATCAGATTTATAAGATGTGTATATGACATGATTTTGGTGCTTACTCAGACTGATTTGAGAACTTTTTTGAGATGAGACATGCGCTCGACAATATAAATACATTGGACTGCATTTCCCACATGTCTCTTCTTTTTTTAGGATTGCAGCGTGGATCTATGAATGAGGCAACTGTAAGACATTTCAAAGACCTTGGACTGTGAACCTGAACTTGATAGACATTTGAGAGCTCGCTGGAGTCTCGTTTTTCTTTGCAGTATCTTGAAATAAGACAAGAAAATAAAATATGAGATCTCACTCAGTTTTTAAGAAAGAAAAACGATATTCAAACCATTCCTCCTTTGAGGAGCAGTTTAAAGGTGGTGTGTTAGCACAGTCAATAGTATATATTAATGTCCTGCCTTCAGGATGATTCGGCTCTTTATATTTATTTACTTCTGATTAAGAAAATGCTTGCTTCATCTGTTTTCCAATCATAATCCAGGTCGAAGTGAAGTTTTAAACCACTGAAGCATAGGTTGAGGACGTCTTTTACTTTAACTTATTAGCTGTAGAGAATCTTTCTATCTACTTAATTTATATTGAATGTTGTTACACATTTGAAAATCCAATGTATTATTGACAGTACTGATGCAAAACACAGTTTATCATTGCTACTGGTAAACCTTTCTTCTTCACAGAATGATCCATTACTTAGTTTACTGATCGAAAGATATTTTGGATGTCAAAGTAAAAGCACGCCACGATTTCTAAACAAGCAGTATCAGAAGTTAAAGTTTGAGTCATACCCTCTCCTCCGAGCCAGGAGGGCTCCAGCAACTCCATCATGTACTCCACCTCGATCAGGATGTGAGGCTTGTTACACTCCACAATCACGTACGACAGTGATGGCAGAAAGTCATCCCAGCTTACTTCCTGGCCTGGAAAAAATATGAGAAGAGGAGAGTTTAAGGGTATGCCAGTATGTGAAGAAAGAAAAGTTTTGTTTTTTTAAACTTTTGGACCAATTTGGACCAAATCAAACTGAGAGAAAAGTCTTAACACATTCCCAAAACCAACCCTGGGAACAGAGGTGCTGCTTGTGAACAGGCAGGGCTTGGGGCCCCAGACCAGTGGGGGGGCCGCCCCTTGAGGGCTGACAAACTTATACCCAAAGCAGCTGCCCTAAATGTGCAAATTTTGCAACGACAGTAGAGGAAACCTCCCTAAGGGGGTTCCCATCTGACTGCACTCACTCCTGTTGCCCAACAAAGTAAGATGAAGAGGATTTTTTGTCTGTAGGAGAGAAAAATTAGAAAAGAGGAAGAGGAGTAAGCGTCGGGACACTGGCAGACATGATGCTGATAGGGGCCCCAACAGACTCTAGAATCTGTTCCTGCCTGGGAACTATACAATTTAGCCTTGTTTGGCTTCCAAATTAGACAGAGGAAACGAGGCAGTCATTAGGTACCAATTCCAAACTCTAGCTAATTCAACTGCACAGACACGATGATGCATTCATTTCCAGCCATCGGCTCCACAGAATCAGGTCATGATGAAAAGCAGACAGGTCTAGTGCAGATCACAAAGGTGCAATATGTCTGGAGCTTTCAAAAGTGACAAGACACTTTCCCTTGAAAACATTGTTGACCTTCAGCCCTTTTACAGGGAGGCCTTCGAGCAGCAACAAATGATTAAAAGTGGTACAGCAAATAAAACATTTTGAGTTTCTACATTTAAGTATTTGGTCTCACCATGTAAGGACCCCATGGCCTTGTGGACGCACTTGCACACTTGCAGCAGAAGCAGCACTTTGTCGATGGGTGAGTGCGTACGCTGCATCAGGACGAGCTTCTGCTTCACCCTCTCCACCTCGCGGCTGTCAGGGACGCCGGTCCTCACGCCGAGCCGCTCCATGGCTGCGTCTCCCTTCAGGTGAAGGAGGTTCTGGTTGAGACGCTGGCTGGAGCCGTCCTGATTGTGCAACTCAACCAGAGCTTTATCGAGGGGGGACCGCAGAGGCCTTAGCACGCAGGAGAACATGGCCCGCTCCAACGCCAGATCTAAGGACAGAGGGACGCAATTGTGAGTCATTTCTTTTTTAGAAAGAATTTCTTGTGGGTTTTCAGCTTATTTCATCATTTTCAAGTTGAGGATGTGTCTACATTTCTAGAGGTGATGGCAAGAGGCATTGAGAGGTATGCTGGTAACTGCAATTGAAGGATGAATAATAGTCCAAAATAAAATTAATTAATTCATTGCTTCATTCTACCACTTACATCCAAACAATAAGAACAAACTTAAACAGCACAGAAGAAAACATGCCTTCATTGGAAACTTTCTGATTCAGACTGGAAAGATCAACATTTTTCTGGTTTTCACATTGGTTTACACAGTTTTATTGCAAGGCTGCTGTGTTGGATTGCATCAGATCTTACAGGTAATTTTTTATGTCCCGTCTTGTGTGAGTTTCAACGTGTTATTAGAATTGGGAAATCCCAAAGTATGAACATCCTACAGGATTCACACACTTCCATCACTGGAATAACATGTCGGAAACTCCAGGACTGCATTGTTTCTAAGCCTTGTTTCCTTATCTCTGTTTAGTTTGCAAACCTTCTCTTGTCTGGTATGTTCCACTTCTCTGGGCTTACTTTTAACATGAACATTTAAATTAAGGAACAATTGACTTAAGGTACAAATGAAACTCTGAAACCTGCTTCTAGGTGGGACAGACCAATGGGTTTTGCTGAGTTTTTACACTTATTCCTGATTCCTGTGTTGCTGAAATAACCAAAACTACAGTAGTGGGTTGAATATTTCCCATGGACTGTGTTGTTTAAATAATCCAATCTAGAGAATACATTTAACTTTCATGCTGTGTTGAATATAACCCATGCACGTGGTTGTTGAATAACTCAATCTAATATGTTGCTGGGTTGAAAGATTCTAATGCACTGGGTCGTCTGGGTCAGTCGACAGTTTCAGATGAAGGAGGATTGTTTTGAATACAAAAATCTTCTATAAAAGTCACATAAACCCTTTTCACATGTACGGAAATCTCCTGAAAAACTCTGGAGATTTGGCTATCCGGAGGTTCTTTAGGCTACGTGTGAACGCAAACAGCAGCATTTTTCGCACGGACTTTACCCGGAGTTTCTCCGGCCAGACCCCTAGTATTTTTTCCGCAGAAAGAGTGAGCTGATGTCTGAATGCGGCCGCATATACTCCGGAGATTTCAATTTGAGCCAATGGAAAGAGAATGACGTTTATATACAGTGACTGCTTAAAGTGTCTGCACGCGACCTCTACGATCTCTGTGCACGTAATTAAACGGCTGCATTATGTTTTCTGTTGGTCATTATGTTGTTCTCCTCTCTTTTGTGGATGTTGTCATTCCATTGGATTACACATAGCATTGATATAAAAGCAAATATTCTCATTATAGCGTCGTGTCGCGGACTCTGTTGCTACAGCCGCTAAGCCTTTAAATCACAGGCCTCCACAATACCTGAGCAAGCCACGCCCCCAAACATTACAAAACCCTGCCCTCACCCTGTCCCTCCCTCAACAAGCGTCCTCGTGTAACGAAAGGGAAATGTCTGAATATTATTACATGATACTTTCCCCTTCCTTGAAATGTATTGTGAAGTAAAAATAAATCGGAGTGCCGGGTTGGTTCGGTTGGTGGAGTCCTCGCCACACACATCTCAGCTTTCATTCAGTGTCATAAAGCTAAAAACCACTGGAAAGCTCGCATGTTGGATTTACTTTTTTTTTTGTTGCCTGACAACAATGATATGTAATACACAAACCCGTGGACATGTTACACATGCACACGTGGAAACACACACAGATCCCAGTGATTCTCCTGCAGTCAGTGGGCAGTCCTGAGTAAGTGGTAACAATCCTCCAGTGCACGTTGTTTTCCACTCATCATCAATATCCTCCTCTCCATCCTTCATGTTATCCCTCCTGTATAATCCCCCAACATCTCCCCCTATCCACCTTACTATATTATAACCCCCTGTGATTAATCATTCACACTCTCCATCCTCTGTGTCTCTACTGTACCTCCCTCTCCTTCCTCCTCCCAGCAACCCTCTCTCTCTTGTACAGGCTCTGGAGAGTAACAGATTACATGTAATGTGATTACAGGCTTGTGAGTTCCCAGCTAGTGCAGAAAAAAAACAGACTTTTGTTCTATTATCCAGAGATCTGTAACTGATTACATTTCCAAAGTATCCTAACTATTTCTATCCCTCCCTCCCACCCTTGCCTGAATCGTGCTGCTCTTCAAGTGAGCGTGGGACGGTGATATCTTTTTATGATAAACGAGGGGGAGAAAAAAAAAATGCAAATGCCTCCCACCGACGCAATGCGAGATAAATCAGACTCACAGCGCAGGAAGGAAGGGCGGGTGGAAGGAAGGAAGGAAGGCAGGCAGGCAGCGGCCGAGCGCTCTCCCCTGAAGCCTCTGCACTGCCAGGCAACCATCCATCATCACACATTTACACACAAACACACCTGTGAAACACACTCAGCCTCGCACACAAAGGAGACCAAAAAAAGAAAAGCCTACGCACAGGACTATGTCAAAAGATCTAACTAGAATCCTTCCAAAGTAACACCCTGCGACGTCCTCACAATAAGAAGAAGAATCACACTTTGAATGCGATGGATGCGAGTGCGGGCGCGTCGGGGCAGGGTTTTCCTAATGCTGTTTTCTAAATACAAGAGACAATATGAGCTCCACTGGATGAGGCTCTGGCCCCCCACGCAAACTACTTAGCGTCGACAGTGCCTTTCACTAAAGCCTGGACAGCCCACCATTTATCAGAAAGGCTGTCTGTTTCCATAGACCTGCGTCCTTTGGCACCGTGCTCTATTGAATTTGTGTTTTCTAATAGTACACTCTCTCTCTCTCCTCCAGTCCCCCGCTGCAATCACCATCTCCTCATTTGTGATGTGATTAACCAATCACCCATGTGATACGAGAAAAAATCCAAAAGGTGGAGAAGCTCAAAATGTAATACAGCACAGTCGGCTAAATTCAATTAAAGAATTCACGCAGTAACTTTGGTTCAACTCCTTAGCAGCAAAATATTATCTAAATTGAGTTCATTTACTTTTTGTGGTACGTGTTTTTAAGACAAATCTACGAGAGTTCACACCTTGTAATGGCTGCATATAGGAGCAATATTATCAAAAACTGAAGAATACTTTTTAGACATGAGGTCATTGGAAGAATCTTTTCTCAAGATTAAAAGATGGGTGAAAAGACAAAGCTTATTTTGTGATCACTTAACAATACATTCATCATCTTACTTTCATTCATTGTCTCTTATGGACTGGTCGTTAAGGGCTTGAGATGGTTTTGCTGGGAAACCTCAAAGGATGTTACTTTTTGCTTGCGCCCCATCTATGGAGGCCTTGGTCCTCCAAGCGGGCGGTCTAGGTTCAAGTAGGGCTGGGCGATATGGACCAAAACTCATATTTTGATATTGATTAGCTGAATGGCGATACTCAATATATATGGATATGTATTTTATTAACAGTGAAAACACCTGGAAAATAAACTACCTGTTTGTGAATTTAAAAAGTAATATTATAAAATAAAAATGTTCCTTAAATACAATAAAAGAGAGAGAGAGAGGGGAGGAGCAGGGTTAAGAGGGACAGACAGTCAGTCATCATCAGTGAGATGAGAAAAAGGTGACCTGGCACCTCTATAACGTTATTTTAATGAAACATAAACTATATCGATATTAACGATGTTGTCTTAAACTATATCTTGTTTGAAAATATATCGATATATCTTAAAAACTCGATATATTTCCCAGCCCTAGGTTCAAGTCCCACCTGTGGCTCCTTTCCCGCATGTCATTCCCTACTCTCTATCTCCCTGATTTCAAACTCTATCCATTGTCCTATCTCTCCATTCAAGGCACAAAAAGCCCAAAAATAAAATCAGTGCCAACAGTAAGCAATACCAAGTAAGCTAAGAAATGGAGTGCGCCTCGGTTCAGAAGTTTTTGTCTGAACTTGCTGTGAGAAGTTTTGTGTTTGATATTTTGAGCAGGTTTTCATTGTTTACCTTTCTCATTCTCGGCACAAGTGTCTCAATGGGAGGCTCCAGCTCTCCGCTGTCCAGCAGGCAGCACCTTGCCTGGGACAAAAACAGGCGCAGACCCTGCAGGAGCTGCACTGAGGTCACGCGGGATGACGACGAGGACGAGGAGGAGGCTATGTTTTTGAGCACCTCTCTCTGTGCAAGGAGGAAGTCCTGAACCATGCTGCCAAAGGAGGAGCGCCTGTCTCTGGACAGCTCCTCGACCAATCGTGTCAGCCGCTTATCAGGAGCAAAGAAGCACACGAATGCCTCGCTCATACGGTGCAGCCCGCCGCGGCCTCTGGAGCGCACCAGTGGTGGGCGCGGGTACATGTAAGTGTGGGATCGAGCCACGCTTTCTGGATCCGAATCTGAGTCATTGTCCTCGTCCATGCTGCTGAAGGAGCTGCTGCTGTCGAGCTCAGCCAAGGACGGAGCCGGGCGGCGCTCCAGGGCCAGAGCAGACACCTCGGTGCCTGGCCCCGCTGCTCGGGCGGCCTGCTGGGGCTGTGGAGACTCCTCGTTCTTTGTAGATGTCTTCACAAGAACAGAGGAGATCATTTTACAACATGAAAATTGAGATTATTTCAGATAGAAAATACATCATGATGGCAGTGATTTCCAGTCAATAAAGCGATTAAACTCCATTCGATCTGCAGAGTCCCTCTGCACCTTTAAGAAAAAGCTAAAGACCTAACTTAATGATGATGGTCTCCATATTATTGATGATGATGATTGTTTTTGTTTGATAACGATGACTTATAAGATGGTTTCTATACTGATTAGAGCTCTCAAGAACTGCCCTCAATGTTGTGCTTTGCCTCTGGTCACTTCCTGTCAGCACCTGTGTGTCCAATCAGACTCAAAGCTGATCATTTGCTCTTACTGACATTGCTCCCTTTTTTCTAGATTCTTGCTTGTGTTGTACTTACTCTCTGATGTACGTCCCTTTGGATAAAAGCGTCTGCTAAGTGAATTGTAAAATTGTAGAATTGTATAAAGCAGGTGGAATGGGAACTACAAGCTACTGTTAGAATTTAAAAGCAACTTATAAAAAAAGTTATGCTTGCTTGCACTCTTAGGAACTTGGGAACCACTGTGTTAATAACTAAGGAAGATGTTAGCGCGTATTACTTGTGGCACATGGACAGACACATCCTCTTCTTCTGCAGAGCCAGGTGACACAGCAGGGGTTCTCCTCAAGACCCCTGCCCCGGGGTGGACTCTTCTCTGTTGGTGTGAGCCGGCCTTGTGCAGCATATCCGACTCCGTGGGCCTGTCCAAGGACGAAGGAGGGGAGTAGGAGCCAATCCCCTCGAGCGACAGATTCATGGAGGACTCGGAGAGCCGGAGCCGCATGCTGCGCTTGAAGCGGTGCCGTTTATTGGAGGCACTGTGGTTTACGAGTTGCGGCTGCTGTAGAAAAAATAAAAAAGAGTCAGTGAGTCAGGTCTTTGTCTTTCAAGGTAAGAACTTTCAAGGCTTTTTGAACTGTAAGTGAGGTTACAGCGAGCGGTAAACAGCAGATTTGTTAGCACTCATTTCAGAATATATATCAAGAGCACCGATGACGCGCTGAACTTAGAAAAAGTTCACAAACTTATAACTTAGCAATAATCTTCAAACACATTTCTATTCACTTTCATTGATCAATCATCTCTGACGCCCTATAAAGGCTCAGAGACAGCCCATTTAACAACACACCCATCATGACTTACCTTGGCAACCTCCAGCTGTAGGAAGAGCGGGTTGATAAAGCAAAGTTTGCCCTGTCTGCCCTGTGTCAACAGGGTACATTGTTCCAGGGTCACTGACTTCGGACCCTGGCTACTGCCGCTGGTTGATGGAACTGGGTCCACTGGTCCATTTTGGATCTCTGAAGCACTCGGCGCGTTCCAGAAATCTAGTGTGAGAGGCAGCAAGAAGAAAGTTTGGTTAGTCTTTTGGTTAGAAATTCAATTATAGTAGAAAGCAAATCTGGTCCTTTCAAATTAATAAGGTATATATTGTGTTGTCTTAAAGTGCAATGCAAAACTTTTTTAAGAGCTAAAGGAAATATTTAAGAAGACACCAAAAAGCAATAAAATATGAATCGTAAAATGTTTATAATCTGCCTCAATGTGACCAGAGCAGTCAGATTTAAAAAAAAAACATTTTACGTTTTATCTTTGAGCTGCAGTCAGTGGTACATTCTGTGTCATTTTTAGTCGTCTCAAAGTCACACCTCACTCTATGCTGCGGAGCTGCATCAGTACATGTTACCGGGCTAAAATAGATGCAAGCTGGCAGTCACTTGGCAGTTACTTTAGTCAGCTATTCCTTCATGACTTTCTCACATTTGCAATACGGTGCTGAAGAGAGGCCACACAACATCACTCTCCTTGCTCTTGTATTTTCTCCAAAGACGTACTATGAAAGAAAAAGATAACTACTAGACAGTTAATATTTATACTGTCAGCTTTGCCTTTGAGTTAAGGGTGCAATGTGAAAGTAAAATAGTACTTAGCCCCCGACGGCTCAGGTAAGAAAATAAGAAAAATCCATTTGCAAGTCCGCTCCCACAGTTAACAAATCTCTGCGTATGGATTTGCAGATTGCACGCACAGATTTGTAAACTGTTTGTATGGATTTGTAAACCATTGGAAAGAATTAACAAAATGATTTTTATATTTACCTGAGGCTTGCGGGGCCGTGTAGAATGGAGAATTATTTGTTAAAAATGGTAACACCATGCGGAAGCTTTTTGAGGCTAGCATTTGATTGTTTTAAGCTAAATGTTGGTATCATCATGTTGCCAAGCCCACAATGAAAATCCTAAAATGTTGATGTTTAGAAGGTATTTTTACATTGCTGATTTGCTTTAGCATATTATCATGCTAAAAATAGCTAACTAGCATTAAAACAAAGAAACGTTAAGGCTAATGGGGATGTAAATAGATTTGCAGTCTTTTTCGATATGTGCCAAAGTATTGGATACATTTTTCCATGCCAATAATGCTAAATGAAAAAGTAATGGGAGTACTAATCATTACAATCTGAGGCTACATCAATGATTTTCATATATTTCATGGCGATTCATTCAAAATCTATTAATTGCTTGTGTTGGAGGGATAATCCTAGAAAGGTTAAAGTACTTTGTAAGTTTATGTCAATAATAGCGAGAGATCTTCAGTCATTGCACCTTGTCCCATGTGTGAGATGGCCTCCAGCTGCCTGTGTGTTGTGGCGTTAGCGATGGCATCAGGTAGCTCTAGTGGGAATGGCAACACATCTCTGCAGACAAGAAACAATCAGGTTTAATGCATGGCCTAAGTACACATGGACATGCTTATCTGATTGTTGTACATCTCATTTCTACATTTCATACCTATTAGCAAGTTAAAATGAGGTCAAGTAAAGTTGTTTGTTAGAAAATACAACACACATCTACTGAACAGAATCCCCAAAAAGAAGACATACGGCATGCAGTGTTGATCAATTTCTAGTGAACAAAAATGTCTTTAAGGCCACCATCGACTGTCTAAGTTTCAACAGACGAAAGTGTCTTTACAGTGCCATCTTGTATAACTTTTTTGGTGGAAAAAAAAGAGTCCTAAGGGCCCCAAGCCGCTGCCAAACTTTTGGAGTACAAAGTAGCTCTAACTGGTGCCCTGGGACAAAAACGTCCCTAAGGCACCAAATGGGATGATGTTTTTGCAGGACAAAAGTAATGTGCCAAGTGGGAGTAAAATGTTATGATGCCGAAAAGTTTCCCCAATTGCAAATGGTTGTAAAATCTTTGTTGGACAGAAGAGTTCCTCGGGGCTCAGTGGGTGTAGGTTATAATGTCCCAAAAGCCAAAAGGGTGTTATAGTTTGGTTGGGGAAAAGTGTCCCATTGCAGATAGGGCAAATTAATGTTTTTACATGTTGGACCTGCACCCAAGTAGGTGTGATACTTTGACGGACATGTGTGTCATTGGATGCAAAATTCGAACACTGGATAGTTCAACAGAATATATTGAAAAACAGCAAAACGGGACAGGGTTTTTTTTTGTTTTTTGTATCAGTTAAGAAAAAGACATCACCTGCTGATGCAGTAGAAGGCCACGAGTCGACACAGGTCAGGGAAGCTGAGTGCTGAGCTCTCCAAGGCGAATGCTAGTTATGAAACAGACAGCGTTTGATTGACAGCTATGGAGATTTGTTCAAATCTAACAAGGAATATGTCAGCTGCAAATCCCGAAGAGGACCGATCGTCTCTGTCCCACACTACTTTACTCAATGTAAGTGCATAACCTGCACTGCAGTACAAACAGTGAGCGGAGAATTGTAGTGTTATGTGTAGTGCTGTAGCTGCAGGTGGGTAATACATGCTAATCTGGCTTGTTTTATACTCACTGGAGTCCTCCTCACAGATGAAGCACTCCTTTACAGAGGAGGCACTTTTATCGGCTGTCACCCTAAAACACAGCACCTTCCTCTGGCTGGAGCTGCATTTTCGCACCAAAAAGGTCTGTGAGCACCAACCACCAGCATGGAAACAAGAAAAAAAAAAGCACAAGGGTGTAATTCTCTTTTTTTTTAAGACATATTTTTGTTTCACAGGTTTTCAAGGACAAAGCACAGATGGTGTTAACAGCAATGTAAAGTACAAAACGAAAGCCAGAAAATGGTTTCCTTACAGTCCAGCTGGCCTTTTTAGTCTTAATATTCTGTGTTTCATATCAGTCTTTGTGTTTTTTTATGCACTTTTTGGATTGAGGTGAGTGGAAGCTGCTATTATTTTATCAAATTGATGATCAACTGTGACATAAATGAAGATTTCAAAAGTTTAGGAAACAATGCTTAGCCTACTCATACTCATGTTTGTCTCCAGCCTATAGTTTAAAAAGTGGAGGCATGGGTAAACAGCATGCCCGCCATTAACAGTATTCTCCCAATGCAATCACAAATTGTCCATTCGTGCGCCTTTTATGCAACACCATCTTCAACAGTGAACTATTAGTTTGCTGGTTCAGGACTAGGCTAATCTTCTGACTTGAGCTGTGTAATTAACCCCAAAGACATGACAGAACTATCCGTTTGCTCATCTCACTCTCAGAAATAGATTAAGAAACTTTTGTTTTCTTTCCAAATAGTTCAACTCTCTTTCTTGTCGTTATGAAAGTATGAAATGTTATTAGCGATCATCATCTAATTCCCATAAACCTTATACCTAAATCTAAATCCCATAAGCTCTAGGTTTGCTCTCAATTCCTGAAATGAGCAGTAGTTTTTAGATTAAAAAAAAGTCAAACAAATGTAAACAAGTTGTTTTTTATCTTGAGGACTTAAAGCAAATCTTTGTAGGAAATAAACAACTGAACATTAAAGCTCAAACAGTCTCAAAAGTCTTACGTCTTCTAGCTAACGTAACATGCTACATTAAGTATACCAGGTTTATTTGGAAACATGTTTAAGATAAGATTTTACAAAAGCACATTTTTTCATCTGTTCTAAAGTTATTAATGTTTTCCACTATTCTTTGAGCTGGTATGTCTTGAAATACTTGACTTTCACATACCCCAACAGGCTCTCTGAGCAGGATGTAGAGGGCGGAGTCTTTGTTGAGTGACAGCTGCAGCCACACAGGATGTGTTATCAGCAGACGATCCAGGACGCTGAAGGCCCGGTGAGAGCCTTTCTGGGTACTGCCCACCGCCTGCATCTAAAACAAGAGTACAAGTTTACTACCCAACTACCAGGAAATGTATCAACAGTCCAAAAAGATACAAAAAGGTGAAACATGAATGACAAAGAGTTGTCCTCTGGCTGCAATATGTAAACTACATCGAGTATATTTTTAGCTTGCCCTACAATTTCCTTTAGAGTTTTGCCCAGACCGTGACCCTTGAGTTGAAGTGAAACCCACACACAACACAAGTGTACTTACAGAGTGAAGTTGTGTCTTTAAATATGTCATGTGTAGCTGCTTATAGATACACAATTTTATTCTGCCAGCATTTGTTGCATAGACCAGAACAGATTTATTGTCAAAAAGAGAATATGTTTCTTTGCAATGTGATGAGCTTAGGAGACATTTCAGTAAAAAAGAAGCTACTTCATTCTGTAGTATAACTGTAAAAAAAGGGAAAACACTGACAAAAGAACGATTACATGGAAAACAAGCAACCAAAAGCAACACATAAACTACAAAGAGATGCAAAGCAAAGATTCAAAAAAAATCAAAGACAAAACAACTACAACTTTACAACTTCAGAAACACAAAACTTCAAAGATACAAAAAACTCCAGAGACAAAAAACTTCAAAGAAATAAAACGTCAAATAGACACAAAACTTCAAAAAGACACAAACTTAAAAGAAATGAAACTTCAAAGAGACACAAACTTCAAAGATACAAAAAACTCCAGAGACAAAACTCCAAAGAGACAAAACTTTAAAGAAATGAAGAGATTCAAATTTCAGACTTTCAGACAAAACTCTAAAAGTGTAAAACAAAAAACTCCATAGAGACATAACACTGTAAAAAATACACAAAACTCCAAAGAGACATAAAGCAACTCTAAAGATACATATGTCAACTAAGGGACACAAATTCTAACAAACAACACAACTTTAAATCTTTTTCAGATGAAAATGTTAGGAGGGCTTTTTGTCTGTGTGTTGCCGAGAGCTTCCTGTCTCATAAAGATCTAACCTTCATCTGCTGGCTTCAAGAAACTCCTCCACCATATTGAGTTAAAACATTTTAAAGCAGCTTTACATCCTTCTGTTCATTCTATAAGTGGTGCAGGCGTTGTTGTGTTGCTCTGAATGCTGCACACTTCACCTCCTCTTGCCTTCACTATAGGGACTTTTAATGTATTTATGAACGATTCATTTCCTTGTATTCAAACTTCACGGTAAAGCACCTGTACGTGCACTAAATGAACAATCACTCCGGGGGGGGGAACTTTGTGTTTTGGTTGCATTTTGGCCCTTTTAATTTGAGCATTCAATCACAGATTTACTTTCTCGCTCTCTCTCAGATCATCTTGCTGCTGGATGTCACACTGTGTGGGCTGCTGGCAAAACGCTTGGTGAGCGTAGCAGCAGATGGTTGCCATGGCAACCTGGGCCTACACATCCTACCAGGCATTCCCACTCAGTGAAACACCCTTTCTCTGACAAGTTGGAGATGCGCGTGCATGCACGAACATGCACACAAACACATATTTATACTGTATTGACACATCCTGATACACAAACACTCACACATTGTCTTAAAGTTTTTTGTTTTTTTTCCAGGGTGCAGAGGTGTTATATTTCTAGAGAGATTTCATGTCTTTTTTGGAAAAAAAACAAATATAAAAAATAAGAAGTGATGCCATTATTTTTTTTTTGTCATTTCCTTCCTCCCATCAGAGCATCAAAGTTCATTTCTGAGCGATGACTGTGCTGCTCCGACATAAGATGCAGCAACCTGTTTCAGCGTTATCAGTGGAAACACTATGAATATTGTTTTCATTCAATAACACATTTGAATTTTCACATTTCTCATCACCTCCTGCCACTTATTACATAACTCTCCCCTCCTCTCTGGAAAAATAAACCTTGGTTATCTGCGCTATAGGACGATTTACAGTCAATGGTAATGTTAGAGGGGATTCAAAGTATAGCAGATATCTATCAGAGGAATACGTCCATGTTATATAATTATCACAGGCTTGTTTCGATGGCTGAAAGAAGCTTTCAATACTTTACTAATATTAAGACAGAAAAAAAAACGTTGGCTAAAGAAAAAAAGCATTCATAAAGGTGTGTAAGGGGTATTGGTTCAATTCTCAAAACCTTTTTGTTACCACAGGTGAGACTTATAACTGAGTAACTTTTCTAGTGTATTTTTTTTCCAATTAATAAGAAGAATCAAAGCTCAGTGAGCTTTACTATTGATGACTTTAGCTTCTGTATTTTCCTATCATCAAGTTTTAGGATAAAAAGCTCTGAATAAACAACACATTAACATATCGGTTTTGACTTTATAAACGTTACTTGTTAACCTTAGGCGTGTAGCTGACCTGATTGACAGGTGGGCGTAATGTAACGGTTTATAAAGCGGCTTAAAACCCGCCCTCAGCTCCAGCGCTCAGCCTGTCGTTAGGTTGACTGAAAGTTAGGCTGAGACAGCATTTCCAGCATGGCGGCTGCTGCCGATGAGCCCCGGGAGCCCCTGCTCGACATGACATGTGTCAGTACGACACAGCACTACATTTTTGTTTATGCTACTTGGTTACAGTTGATGACTCTTGCTTGCCAGCCAATTAGACAACAACCTTTTGTTAGAAAGAAGAAGCTTGTTTTGTTTACATCTTTGTGAAATTAAAGATTGGGTGATGCCGAAATTACCCCAAATTTGAGAATCAGTCAACATCATTTTTTTAAACTGCAGTAACTAGAAGCAGGTTCTGCTAAATGAGAACAGCAATGAAAATTATTTTTTTTATTTATTTATTTTTTTCAACAATTATATCTGTCAACGATTCCCTTCGGACATTAAACAGACACACTCCACATGAGCACTGCAAGTCAAGAGGCACAATCTTCTTTAAATTAGGAGCCAAAAATTCTTATTTTAAGTTCTTCTTAAAAAAGAATCTGTGAGTGTGACTCCGAGTGGGCCTGAAGAGTCACCCTATTGCATATCTGGTGCCAAACACCACGCAGATCCGCAGTCCGATGACCCAACCACACAAGGCTATAAGAAAAGCAGAGAGAGAAAGAGGAATAAAAAATCCCAGAGAGCAGGACCCTAGTGTTTTGCTAGCCATTTCCAGGTCCGCCTTACATAAAATGCAACACTGCCCACACACACACACACACACACACACACACACACACACACACACACACACACACACACACACACACACACACACACACACACACACACACACACACACACACACACACACACACACACACACACACAGAGAAAGACTTATGTAATTCCCTCCGAGAAAGTGAGACTCACAGAGAGGGAGAAACTGAAGAGAAAGATAAAAAGATGAAACCCGATAAAAAAGAGATGAGAGGAGCCGAGACTGTTAAATTAAAGCTGGGTTAGGAAATCCAAAACTTCAGTGAGCCTGCAGCGCTGCGGTTCAAAGCGGCAGACAGAAAATGTGATAAGCAGAATGAGATGTACGCTGTGTAGGCTAACTAACAAGGTGTTTTTGCACCTGAGGGCAGCGGCAGGAAAGGAAACCTAGTGGGATAGACCTACACAAGCAGAAGAAGAGACAGCTAGGGCAAGATTTGTCTGAATGAGGGAGGACGAGGAGTGCTGAGCTCATCTGTGAATCTGTGGCGGATTTTAGTTGAAAGTGGCATTTAAGAAACCCTAAATTACGCTTACCTGCTTATTATAGAGAGGGGAATCCCCTCATATAGGAAAAACTAGAGTGGGACAGAAAAAAAATGTCTGTTTTTTTGTTTTCAATGTAATGCAGGCTAGTTTGTGGGGAGAGTGAGGGTGCATTTGTTAAGATCACAATTGCTAAAGAAAAACCTGACTTGTTTATTCCTTTCCCAGGAGAGATTAAATTGCAGACATAGAAAGGATTGACCCGACACGATGATGACGGAGTGATGGAGTGAGTCAAACGCTAACTGAAGACATTTTTAGCTGCTCAGAGGAAACGTATAGCAGGAGCTGTAGGCATAGTGTTGAATTCTGTCGATGTTGAAGGTGTAAAAAAAATGTAATCTGGCAGGCTAAGAATAAGATGAATTACGCAGAAAGCATCTCTAGCTGTCAATCAGCAGACCACAGTGTCATGTATCTGTTAAGCATATACACACACACACTGTTTTTCATGAGATAAGTCTTTTGAAAATTTGAGACAAAAGGGAGGTCTGTAGATGAGGGAAGGAGGAAGATTTTTAATGGTTCAGGAGAACAGTGTAGGACGAGAGATCAGTGGCACCGAGCAGCTGCTCATTGAGGAGCTCAGCCTGCTGCAGATGGACAACATCATGGAGTCCAGATTTGTCCACCTCCAGACCAGAGACCAGTCAGGCTGCAGAGAAGCACAGTGGCGCCCTCCCATGGGAATTAACCTTTCTTTGAAACAATTGCAACATTTGTGTGCCACCACCAGATGCTCCCTGATGACTGCTTTGTCATGTCTTGTATCAGTGAAGCAGAGGAAGAGGAGAGTCTGGAGGAGAGTGTGTCAGGTGTTTGTGAAGAAGAACACCTACAGATTAGCGTCTGAGAGCTGACGAACATTGTGGAAGATTTTCAGGGGAGTAAAATAAACCGAAACTCTTTTAGAGTGTGATGTTTAAAGAAGTGGAACGAGGGGTTTTAATGCAACCAAGGGTTCTCTTTGCTACCTCAGTGGCAATTCCCGCTTCCTTGTGTCGTGGTCTTTGACGTTACATCTGATGTTTCCATGGCATAGAGATAAAGATTCTGTCTGTCATGGCAGCAGCTACAACAAGACACGTCCCGTTACAACTATAAAATTACAGATTTCTCTGGGTTTGATAACTGTTGGAAATATTCAAAGGTAAAGTGCACTCAACAAAAAAAATAGGACATAGGTTTAGTGCATTTTTAATTAATTCAGATATTTTAATGTAAACATAGTAATAAAATTCTGCATATTGCACGTTTAAGTGTGGTGATGTACCTTTACTTTGTCTCAATTTCCTCTTCTAAT